CCAGGTCCGCCTAAGCAGGGAGGGCGCGGTGGCAGGGTACGGCATGTTGGCCGCGGAGGAGCTGGAGGCGGGAGAAGTGCTGTTCATCATCCCTCGCACGGCCCTGCTGTCCCAGCACACCACCTCCATCCCCGCCCTCTTGGAGGAAGGTGAGCCACAAAGCAACTTCTGTCACTCATGTCTACTTTGCCTGTGTTTTCCCGTTTGAAGGAATGAATGGTCTGGGATAAAGCCTAGGGAACATTCCTGACTTGTGCAGGATGCTGTAGGGCTGGTGGATATCAGGTAGGAAAAGGGAGGGTTGGGCATGTTCTAAGAGAGCCAAGAGCTGTGCTGGGCAGGGAGAAAAGCCCATTCCTCAATCTCCAGTCTTTAAGTGAAAGGTACCTGTACTACGATGCTTTCGTGGAAGCACTGCTAGGAAAAAGAAGTTCCTCTCTTGCTGATGGGCACCCAGAGCCTTGGGGTGGGGGGAGTGAGTGAGGTCTGAAGAGTCTTAGGAGGAAAAGCAGAAGTCCCAGCTCCAGGCCAAGGACAGGCACTGAGGCTTCTGGTGCCAAGGGGGCTTTGATGCTTGGAGGAAAAGACTAAAAAAAAATTATCAGATTAAGTTACATTTTCTCCCTTGTATCTGGTTCCTAGCCCGGGAGTCCCTGCAGAGCCAGTCTGGCTGGGTGCCCCTTCTGCTACAAGCACCAAGCCAGCAGCTCCCACTGGCAGCCCTATTTCTCCCTCTGGCAGGACTTCCGGAGCCTGGATCACCCCATGTTCTGGTAAGGTGAAACCAAGTGGGGCTGTGGGGAGGCCCAGTCTGACAGCTGAAGGCAGGCACAGGCCAGGGGCTACCAACCAGGAATCCTGGGGATGGGTGACCCCATTCCTCTGTTCTAGGGCCCCTGCTGGCAATGGCAGGAGCTTGAGGGATCCTCTTGGAGCTACCCTACAGGCATAGCCAGAGAACAGGGATCTGGAAAGCATGGGGAAGCTGAGATTTTGAAGGAGGAAGGAGTTCATAAAAACCCTTGGCTCAGGGACAGATGGAGAACCTGCTGTTTTTCTTGCAACAGGCCTGAAGAAGAGCGAACAAGGCTCCTGCAGGGCACAGGCATCCCAGAAGCTGTGGACAAGGACCTGGCTAACATCCACCTGGAGTATAGCTCCATCATCCTGCCTTTCATGGAGTCCCACCCCGACATCTTTGACCCCAAACTGCACACCTTGGAGTTGTACAAGGAGCTGGTGGCATTTGTCATGGCCTACAGGTGAGAAGGGAGGATTCTGCTCCAACAAGGAGTAGCATCATAGGAAAGATTACAGGTGTGTTACTTAGAGGTTGCAATTGCACAAGAACGTAAGCAGAGGGTGAAGCTTGCCCTGTGCTACCATGTGTACCACTAGGTAATCTTCATCTCCCTTGTTTTAGCTTTCAGGAACCTTTGGAAGAGGAAGATGAAGATGAGAAGGTGCCCAATCCTCCCATGATGGTGCCTGTAGCAGATATTTTGAATCATGTGGCCAACCACAATGCCAACCTGGAATACTCTCCCGTGAGTGCAGAGCCACTGCACTGAGCATGATAATGGCCTGATTCTCATTTTGTGAAGCTTTGGGAATGGGGGCACAGCAAGGTGGGCTCTCAGAGCCCAGGGCAGTAAGTCTGGCCTGGATCTCGCTAATACGAAGTCCTGCTGCGTGCTTGGAGTTGGGAAGAGCTGAGGGTCATCTAAGCCTCTCTGAAACCCCATGTTTCTGAGCAGTAGGATCACTGCAGCTCAGAGCCTCTCCTCTCCCTGCTTGCAGCAATGTTTGCGAATGGTCACAACACAGCCCGTTGGGAAGGGACAGGAGATCTTCAACACCTATGGGCAGATGGCCAACTGGCAGCTCCTGCACATGTATGGCTTCGCAGAGCCCTTCCCGGGCAACACCCACGACACAGCAGACATCCAGATGGTGACAGTGCACAAAGCAGCCTTGCAATGTGAGTGGGACACATAGCCACTTTGGGAAAGGATGGGGCAGCAATAGAATTATGGCATCATCAGGGTTGGAAGAGACCTTTAAGATCATCAAGTCCAAGTGTTAACTTGCCACTCCACTGTAATCCCTAAACCATATCTTCCAGTGCCAGGTCCAGACACCTCTTAAACACTACTAGGGATGGTAACTCCACCACTTCCCTAAGAACCTATTCCAATGCCTGATCTCCTCTGGATAGGGATGTAATGAAATAGGGCTCAAAGATGACATGAAAAATAAGCCTGTTCCTCAGCATTTCAGGTGCTGGGGACATGATTCTGTTTGCTGCCTCCTGTTTCCCCTTGTCCATTCATCACCCACTGCCACCCCAGCTGGGTTTGCAGCTCTGCTGTCTTCAAAACAGGTGCCAAAACTGAAGCACAGCAGCAGCTGGTCTCAGAGCAGTGGGATTTCTTGTGCCAGCTGGAGATGGTGGGGGAGGAAGGCGCCTTTGTGCTTGGCTGGGATGAGGTGCTGACAGAGGAAGAGCTGTCCATGACCCTGAAGGTAAGCATGGCCAGTTGCAGGGAGAGCTGCACAAGGAAGAGCAGACTGCAGCAGGGCAAACCACCATGCACTGAAGGGGTGTAGCTGCCCAGCTCCCAGGTGCTGTTACTCATCTTCTTCTCCTGAACTAGCCACCCATGGCCACTGCTGGTCTAGAGAGCTGTCAGACCTTTGTAGGTGACAGCTGAGATGTCCTTCAGGACTATTACCAACACCCATGTTTGTTGTTTGAATGTTCTAACCCAGAAGTTACTTGCAATTAGGTTTGTAAGACAGTTTTAGGCTCTTAACCTTTAGTGCAGCTGAGGAATAACTCACCTGCTCCATATGGCTCTTCTACAGATGAGAAAGCCTGATGTATTCACACTGTCAGTGACTTGTCCCTTTGCCTGGGCCATTACAGGTGCTGTGCATGTCAGAAGAAGAATTCAAGGAGTATAAGGAACAAGATGGCTGGGAAGATGACAGTGAGGAGGAGGAAAACCCTACCCTTTCAAACGAGGCTCTATCCAGACTTAAAAGCCCTTGCAAGAAGCTCCTTTATGACAGTGTGCTGCTGACCCTGCAGTCCTACAGGTCAGACCTGAAAGCAGAGCAGGACTTGCTAAACAACAAGGAGGCTTATGAGAAACTGAGTCGAAGGGAGCAGCAAGCTCTGCATGTGCGCTATGGACAGAAAAGGATCTTGCATCAGCTGCTAGAGCTGGTAGGCTAGAAACCTCACCAGCCCTGGACATGACCTGCCTGGGACTGATCCACAGGGTGAAGGTCCTCTTGTCCCCCCTTCTGCAGCAGGGAGGACAGATGGCAAGACTGACTATGGGCCCACCTGTCCCTCATATGCCATGTGGCTTTTTTAGCTACCTCTACATAAAGTATCTTCACAGCACAGAAGTGGTTTTGGGTGGCCTTGTCATACAATGAGAGCTTGGGAGCACAACTACCACCTTCTTCCAGAGGCCTTCAGAAACCCCAGACCTCATGGCTGCTTTAGGGAGGCAGACACTGTCAGAACAGCAAGTGGGTTCCCTCATTCAGCACCAGAAATTTAAGGCAAGAGCTGCTCCTTTTCCAGATTAGGAGGGCAGAAATTCAGCTAGCAGCTCTTGCCTTAGAGATGTTCAGAGCAAATATCTGGCAGGTGGAGCTGCTGAGAACACTAAACCCATCACTTATATTTGGTTAATGCTGAGCATTTTAAAGAGTACAGGCCCATCCATCTGGTCTTCATATAGGCTCAGTATAGCAAAGTACTTCATTTTACCTCTACAGAAGATATTTGCGTGGCATTGACACTACTCTAGAGAAGCACTGTCAGTTCTGCAGCTGCTGCAGAGTAAGCATTTGATACGTACCCTCTGGTTGATGCAGTTCTTCCCTGGAGTCAGGCATTGCTCTGCATCACATTCAGCTACAGTAATAATTTCCCTTAGTTTCTGCATGACAAAACACGAAAGGTTTGCAGGCCAAGCTCTATTTAATAAAATTATTTTTCTTACCCAGCCAGTGCTGTCTACTTCAACAGGGTGTGAAGCCCCATCTAAGGGGGGGGATCGCTGCTGCTGCTGCTGCTGCAGTTAGAAGTACTGCAGACAAGCAAAACCCAGACTGCACTCACACAGACAGCTCAGCTACATCCCTGCCTGCACAGCTGGGGGCCAGGGTGGTTTAACAGCACTGAGGGTAGGGCTTTTCCATTCCCCTTTTACACTGGTGTAATGCAGAGGCTGTTTAGATTCCAGTCTGCCATCCTGGCACTTCTGCTACTGCAGACCAGATTTCCAACCAGGCAACTCAGTGATTCAAAAGGTTACTCTTCATTTTCTGACTATACCAGGGCCTCTGCTGACAAGGACACTGACATGAGCTGCAGGTTCCTTACCTGTCAAGGGAGGATATGAAGTGCAGTAGCCTCCATCCTGCCATCCCAACTTGTGTTACTGGGATCTTGGCTGAGTCCTGTTCACCTTCCACCCTCTCTTTATACCATCCCAATAGCTCTTAAAGCCTGAAGGGAACCAGCCATGTACAGCAGCATTAGTACAGAACCAGAGACACCTTTGACCCACTAGGACAAGTTAATAAGCTCTGCAGATGATTTGCTAGAGTTAAACGCCAAGAAAAAAAAATCCCTTGGCATCTGGACCAGATAGAGAAAAACTGGTTGCTGGTTTAATTTTCTGTATCCTAACCCAAAAGGAGGAGGAGGAGTAAGCTGGAGTTGCAGCAGCAGAACCAAAATCCAACTCCACATGGCTCAGTTTCAGCACAACTGCTGACCTGCCAAAGAAATGCCAGGGAATTGTAGGACCTGGCCAGAGTCTACTCCCTGGCACACAAGTGACTGAACAACAGCCTAGAACAGAAACAGTAAGAGAATCCCCTTTCAGCTGCCATCTACCAGCACAGCTGGCTCCGTGGTCCTTGGAACTAGTTTTAGCTCTCTGCAGCAAAGGTACAGCCAGGCACAGAATCCCTTAAACCTGAGCAGTAATCCTGACCCCTCTGCCTGTACCACAGCAGTCAACTAGCTTTAACCAACTAGCAATGTTATGTAAAAAGAAAGCAGCGAAGCTCTATTTCCTACCACCTGCTGGGTTACTAAGGCACAAGCCAAAGGATTCTGCAGTATTAGCAACATTGAAGCTGCCTCACCCTTACCCCAGCTAACCACAACCTTGGGTAGGACCCTGCTGAAGGGAGTATCCCAGCAGGGTGGAAGGCACTAGAAATGAAGGTCATGGGCTGTCTACACTCTGTATTCCTCCACTGCAGTCTCCTGTCCAAGACAAACTGCTCATGAACCTGTAACTAAGCTGTTTGTTTCCAAACAACTGTCCTTTCTTTTGCACTTCAAAGCAAGGCTCTGTCTAGTCATAACATCTCCCCACTGACCTCAGGCTAGAGAACGAACGAAGTTGCTTTCAACAGGCATTGCCCAAAACACACTGGAAAACTGCAGGTTTTGGATAGGTAAAACCGACTTGGAAAGACACCACCTGGCCAGGATGGAGAGAATAAGCACAGTGGCACGTGCTGCATGTCATGACTTTAATGTGTAACTACAGTATGCATACATACAAGAGTGGGAGAACTAAAGCCCAAGAACTAGAAAGGCTACAAAATACAACACATGGACCAATACTTTACAAAACATTCAAAATCCTTACAAAATGGGCTGTATTGGTCCTTTGGGTTTTTTGTTTTGTTTTATTTTTTTTTTGTTTAGGTTTTTTTAAAATTTTTTTTTTACAAACTTATACTGTGTGGTCACAGGGTGGGGGTGGGAAAAGGTTTAGATTTAACCCCCCATCTTCCAAAATTTACAAGTGTCAAAAAAAAAGAAAAAAAAAAGCTATAGGCCTGGTCTCTGGTTTCTTTACTAAAAAGAGCTGACCCTCACCCAAAGGGCCTGAGGTGTTTCTTCTCCAACAGAAAGGAGGCATTCTCTGACTGCCACTCCACTTGCTGTCCCTCGGCATTTGATGAGGGTGGGGGAAAAGCAACACTGAACCTTAACCCCTCCCTCACCCCCCCATACTCCATAGAATTCCCATATTCCAAACACATCCACTTTTTTTTTTAAACAACTTTGTGATTTAAAGGTCCCCCATCCACATAAAGAAAAATAAGTTACATATTATAACTGGCTTTTCAATATTCTTTGGGAGTCTGGGAATGTCAGGACAAGGAGGTCTGCCCCAGACAAGTGCTTGGCATCAGCAGCTGCCCCTTTATTACAAGCTGGACAGGCACCAGTTACCCACCTGCCTTTTAAACAATTTGCACAACCCAAAAGTCCAGACAATTGTTTTTGTTCCTTGTATTTACATTAGTTCAAAATGATATTCACAGCATCTTCTTAATTTTGGCCAAAAGTCAAAAAAATTTGTTTCAAACTTTGGAACGTGCCCACATAAGACTTTCACCCAGGATCTGTTGTGTCTACCCAATCAAGGGGGCTGGGAAGGTCAGGAGGAGCCTTACAGAATCTTCAGTCAGTCGACGGGACAGGACCTCCAAGCTGGCACATCTGCAATGCTCATCTAACTGGCACCAGTCCCTTCCATGACTTGCTGGGCCTGTTTCTGCCCCATGCAGCACTGTGCAACTGACTGGAACAACCTGCACAGGGAAATAAAGCAGTGGTAGGTGCATTTATGGCAACAAACAGTGCTTCCACTATGAAAGCACCAAAAACTCAAGGCCCAACTCAGCCCCTGCGTCAGATAACCACAGAATCATTAAAATGGTCTAAGTTATACTCACTTCTCAATTTCTGGAGCACAGTGAACAAACTCATGGTTCCAGAACTTAAACGCTGGGTTTTTAATCAGCTCAATGAAAGTAATAAGGAGACCCCAGGGATGAGGCCTATTTACAATCAGTCGTTCCAAGAGAACCCTGAAATCCAAAAGCAGGAACAGTTAAGAGCTCAAAGATCCAAAACACAGCAGGAAGGGAAGTGAAAGCTGGATGTTGGCAAGGTAAATGCCTTTCCTCTCACCTGGTGATCTGCTCCTGGATAGCCTCAGTGTTGGCCTCTGCAAACAGGTACAGCATGGTGCAGCTGAAGTAGTGGGTGTGACTGTTGGGGTATCGCAGCTGGTTGGCAATGGCATTCAGGAAGAGGTACCGACCTGCAGAGGAGGAACAGTTAGCACACATGGCTTCCCTGACACACATGAAAGAAAGGAGTAAGAGGCAACTAGCAGTGCTTAAGGTAATGTCTGTGAGTCTGCCTTACGAAGGTACAAGAAACAAAACCAACTGAAGACATGAACAAGCCGCATCAACCCAGGCTGATGGGACAGGAAGAATTCAATCCTTCTTCAAACACATTCCTTACTCCCTTGAATACTCTGAACATCCTGTTTTAATATTGCTCCTGTATTCAGAGTTTAATATTCCAACATAGTATTCCTTACTGTGAATTCACCATCAGCTACAGGAAATGATCTCCAGTTCTCATGGCTCAGACAACCTGCTGTTAAATTTGGCATGGCATGAACTAGCAGTGCTTCCAGCTCACCTTCAGTGTCCAGGTCTACTGCCAAATTCTGGAAGATGTCCATATGAGCTGAGTGGGTAATGGTGCTCATAGAGGGTGTGCTGCCCTTGTTGTGAATGTGTGCAATAGCTTGAGTACCTACGTAGAGCACCAGTGCATTAATCAGCTGGATGTTGTAGCGGTTGCCAGGTTCGTTTGATACCTAATAGAGAAGATATGAAAAGCATTAACAGTCTGTATTCCTTGAGCACTCAAAGGTACAGCATGTACAACAACAGCATCCAAATATCTTCTTGATTATACAGAAGACTGCATCCTCAGACAGCCACAAATTCTATCTGGCATTTACCCTTCTGTAATATAGTAGGTTTTAGATTATTTACTTACTTCTACACTTGAACATCCTGCCAGGGAGTGGCAGGAGTAGTGTTCAGAGAAGTGTACACTTTCACAGGCTTTTCTACTGCCTGGAACACGTATTGGCCAACAAACCAACAAAATTCATGCAAGAAAGGAGGATGACCAAGCCAGTGAGATAATTTTCCCCCACACTATTTAAATTCAGCATCCTCAGACACCTCACACTTACTTGCAGATTGCTGCGCAAGTCAGACAAAAACGTGACTGGAGATCGGGTTTTGAGATAGGAATCCAAGTCTTTCTTGAACTGTGGGGGCATCACTCCAGTGAAATTTGTGAGTATTCGTGGAGCAATATTAATCTCACTTAACATGTCCACCTGTAGAGAGAAACCCCAATCAGCTAAACCATAAGCAATCTCCAAAGGAACAAGTTGCAAACGCAGATCTGTAAGTGATATATCGACTACTGATGTTGACCAGATGTTGTTCCTTCCAGCAATGAAATGAACACAGAAGACTTTTGCAGATTGAAGAAGAAACTTGACCTCTAATGTGCAAACTTATTACATGATGTCTTGAAGAAGTGAGAGGATAAAAAAAGCCAGAAGAGTAAAAGCCTCAGGGAAATTCAGTCACTGCCTTTGCAGTCTCTGTGCTCAAGACAGTCTGGTAGTTTGAAAAAGTACAAACATCCACACAAGGCAGGAACAGCCTTCTTCAGTGCTAACTTAATGAGTGCTGCAGCTTTGCTCCCATCACCCTGCACAGCTCAAGTAGGGAAGAACAACAGGACAATACTTCAGCAGTGTGAGAAAGTTTGCTTCTAATCATTCCAGCATTAACTGACTGGCATATATCTGAAGATTTAATTAGATAACATTAACACTTCTCCAAGTCTCTCCCTCTTATGCAAGAGACTTGCTTCAGAGTGGTGCTTTATCTCATTATTTTCAAAATCAAATGGTGTCAAGTGTTTCCCATCCAAAAGCATTTGCAATTACACACTGCTTGGGCACCAACTCTTCCACAATTAGTGAAGAGAACTCTAGTCTCCAGCATCCCATGGAGCACCAACACAGTACGAGCTGAACAAAACTGAGTCAAGAACTGTTGGCTGAACTGTGAAACAGCAAAGCCACAAAAGGCTGCTCGAGCAGCCTGTTTTTCAGTGACAAATGAGACAGTAAGATGATAAAGATGCCCTCGCTCCAACAGTGTGTGCCAGTCAGATCTAGGGATGCCATCAAATCAAGTCTCCCTTTGGAAAAAGCAAAGCCCTCTAGTTTTCCACACAAGCACTCGGTTCTTGGTGAAGTTCTCCTGTAACGCAAGTCTCAGCCTGCGTTTTCAGGCTGAACCTGCACAGCTCTTGCACGCGAGGCAGTATCTACAGGTGTCAGTGAAGCTGAGCAGAGCCAAGCTTTATGCCTCCAACTGCAACAGACTTCATACAGGACAAGGGGTGTATCCTGCTCTGTATGGAACATGTTAAACATGGACCATTACAAACATAACTGAATCCTACCTGCTCTAAAAACTGTTCTGCTAGCTGCTACATCGCTTAACTTTTGAATAGTTGCACTAATTCTAGTATTAGTTACACTATTGTCAAATATTCCAGTCTCTGCCAAAAAAATGGATAAAGAGTATTTTGAGTGTTAAAGCTTCCCATTATCAAACTCCAAAAAGTAAGTTGTACCTTTAGATTGGGGGTGAAAGGGTCTGGAAGCCTCATGTTCCGTGGGAAGGCACTCAGGATCAGATTCCTTAGCTGAATACAGTTAGGTGGGATCACATCACAGAACCCATAGTGGTAGTCACAGAGGAATTCTGGGAAATCATGCAACAAGACCAGCAACACACGCAGAGTGCCCTGTGAAATGAAATATATGAGGTGTGTAACTGATGAGACTGCCCAAAAGCTTGCAGTGCCATCCTTCTGTGTCATGTGGTTAACATTTCCAGGAGGAAATTGCTCTGGGAAGGCAGCCTTGCTTCTGTCCCACACCAACTTTCACTTGAGTCTGAGACATGAGTTATAAGAGAACAGTAAATCCTATTTTGCTCCCAGAACACCTCTACTTTCAGACAACTCTGGCTAGAAGTAGCCATCTATTAGCTGACATTTTTTTACCTTGTAAAGAATTTGCATAGGTTTGGTGAGTTCCACATTTCTAAGGAAAGGAGCCAAGTACTTGAAAAGATCGATCAGTAACTGGGCATACATGGGCCAACCCTGCCAAGAGAAAAAACAGCAGGTAGAAAATATGCAGTGAAGAGCAGTTACCTTAATTTCAAACTATATTATCTCTATATAAACCTGGATGGAAGAGCTACTTGGTAGCTCTAGTACTGAGTGAAGCACAACTTATTTCAAGGCACATCATGTGCCACAGGTGTTTCCAGAACACTCAATATGCCATACTGAGCTGACAGTATTTAGGCAAGAAGGCTACAGCTATTTTAGACATTGACAAAGGCATGTTTAAATTCAGTTCACCCTGTATTCCATAGTTTTTGACACACAGACTCTCCTCCATGCAGTTAGGTTACAAAAACACAACAGCCATGCTACTAGTGCACTTTGAGATGTGAAACAGCACCACACCAGGTAAGCATCCGCGTGAGCTTTGTAATTCAGAAGAGATAAACTGCAGCCACACCTTCTGCTGTGGTGTATGTGCCAGCATTCTTGCAATAAATATCCGATGGGAGATCAGTTCCAGCCAGGCATAAACAAAACCTGGAGCTTTTGTAGGCCTCAGGATGTGAAATGTGTTACTGAAAGAAAAGTTAGAGCAGGTTAGAAGTGCGCAGCAATAAGATTGATTTTCATAACATTGAGGGACAACATACACAGCCCTAAAAGCAAAGGCATTTGAGCATCTTGAGGTTTACCAATCATCTTCCTTAAAACAAGCAAGTAGACAGTCCACAGGAGAACCAGCTACTCTGAAGGTGATTAAGCCACCACAAAGTAACAGTCAAGATAGCCTTTAGGTGAAAAACCTTGATACTGCCAAGAAAGCATGAGCATTGTGGCCAATCCCAAATACATACCAGAAAGCTGTGAGTGTCTGGAAGTTGATGGTCTCCAGTACATGCTCAGGAGCATTTAATTCCAACAGCAACATGATGAAAATGCGATGGTAAGGAAGCTGCTGAAACTCATTCTGCCGAACATCATGGTCTTGCAGAAGAACTCCCACCACAATACCGAGGACCTAAAGAGATCAAGATGTTTCAGTGGTGACAGCAAGAATTACTTTGTAAGTCAGCCTGCAGATAATACTTCAACCATCAGTAAAAGAAACAATTTGGCAGATCCTACGATGAAGCAGAAATTCTAGTTATTGGAAGTCACACACAAATGAATATTTCAAACTGTTTCAGCAACTCCCAACCACTACTCTTTGCTCTCCCTGTCCCTTCAATCACAGTCACAATGGTTGACTGGGCAGTGTTGGAAGGTCTTAACTACCCAAGACCATCCAGCCATGAACCAAGTAGTGTAACAGTATAGACCAGACCCTCAAAATCAAGGCACAAGGGAATCACCAACCTTAAACCACACTTCACATGCCTTAAAGCAACAGCAGTTGACTTTTGTCATTTCAAGCCACAAGGGTGCGTTTCAGGTTGGTTCGATATGAAATCTTTATAAACGAGAAAACCACTTGACATCTTGATGCTTCACTCAAAAGTTTAGCATTTCAGTGACCAACAACCTTCAAGTCCTCATCCTGTGAGCCTTCAGCAGCAGCCTGCACTACAGTCTGCATCTCAGGCTTACCAGTACAGCCAGTAATGTGCTTTACATGCAATGAGTACTGGGAGAGTTCCCAACCTTATTCAGGAGGTTGATCTTGGTGACTGTGTTGGTTGCCTCCCCAGAGTGCTTCACTAGCAGTGCAATAAGTCGCACAAAGGCATCCAGGTTGTGGTAGCACTTGGCTCGAATCATAGTGGGGTTGGCTGCAGGGTTGTGCTGCTGCTCGGCCTGAGCACGGTAACTGATTTCCACACACATTTCGGTGCAAAGACGGAAAAAACGGGTGATCAGGTCATCTGTTTTCAGGATCCCTTGCTGGTGCATCTATCCAGGAAAGGAGAAAACCTCAGCACTATAGCCACAGAAAGGTCATTTTACAATTCATTACAAACAACAACACACCCTGTACAAAGCACCCACCTTGCCTGCCACAATTAATTTTTACTATACTCTTCAGAAAGATTAATACTTGCAAGGCAATTTGAGGGTGACCACACAATTCTAGCAAACGCATTTACTCTCAAAATAGAATATTTTGAATCCCAACTCTTTTCAACCAGCAGCATAGCTAAGGAGCCTCTTTCAGTATCAGTTCTGCCACCAGCACTCAACCCTGCATGAAGGACAGCACGAGGCAGTGGCAGCTCAGTCTGTTGGGCCTTTAGGAGCCCACACAGGGAGTACAAGCTCTGGGAAGGGCAGACTCCAGCTACTAGGCTCAGGAGTCATCGCTACTTTGCAGCAACATTCTGTAGAAGCAAACTGCATTTGGAGAGTCAATTTTCCTTACATCAACATTACATGCAGAGAAAGACTGAGTGGAGTTCTTTGTTTTGCCTTGGGGGTTGTTTTAGTAATATACATACACATAAAACCCCAGAGACCTCCTTTTGTTTGTTACCTACAGTATAAAAAACCATCAACATGAAACTGCAGGAAACCTCTGGGTCTTGAATAAAGCATCTTGCTTTTAAACTCCTACTACACAGACAAAGCTATAAAACAGCACAACTTGGAGAACTAGTATTTCTGGAGAAACATTTTTTCTTAAAAAAAGAGAATTTATGGATCTGCCTTCAAAGTTCTATGCTGCTTCTTGTGTCAAAGACTAGTGGAAAGCAACACACAAGCAGCCAGAACTGCAGTCATTTAAGTTCAGCAACAGAACCTTGTTTAAAGCATTTATTACAAAATACCCTTTTAAAACCCACTGCTAAAGCCTGTAAGGAAAGAATTATACATCAACACTGTACTTTGATATATTTCTATTTCAAATCTGATCAAGTATGTACAAAAGGTAAGCAAACAAGTGTGATAAAGAGTGAACCAGGACAACAGTGTACTAGTATTACAAGTATATTCCACTGAAGGATGCTTTAGAAGCATGATTTAAAGTGTAAAAAGTGACACTGCATGAGAAGGTAAAATGCTTTTTTCAAGAGTTTAGTACAGTATCTATTAAAAACATTCAAAAGATGCTATGCAGTAGAAGTCAGACCAACAGAGAGCTGCCTACAAGCCAGTGCACAAGGACATTTAAAGTCACATGAAAAATCGCTGCGTTGGTCACATCTTTAGCCATACTTTGCAGCTTTAACTTGTTTTCATTAGTAGCTGCATTCATTAGTAGCTGCAAAGTCTGTGGTATTTCTGTGGTTTCCAGTTCGTAAAAGGTTTTCCTAGCCCACATGGGCTGACACAATATACCTGTGATTCTAATAAGTGCTTTGCTTCTGTAGGCTGTCAGAGCTTTTATCGTTGCCCATAAGGAGCAACACTAGCCAAGCTTCATTACAGAGCATGGCAGAACCACTCCCAGCTTCCGATCTTTTCCCATCAAACTTATTCCAGAACTCATGGTCTGATCTGACAGCTTCTTGCTACAGTACCTGAAGAATATGATTTGGAGGAGGACAGGGATTTCTACAGACTGTTACCATCAAAAACAGACAAAATTTTCACAGCCATACACATGAAAGTTCCAAAAGGATGCCTAACACAGGTTATAACACTGCTTTAAAATGGAGGGCATCACACCCTACTTATGTTGAATAAAAAGCACCTTTCTTTCCAAAAGCTCTACCTGTCCAACAAACGCAGAGAAAGCTTTGGTACTGTCACGGCCTGCTGCAGCTGAATGGTAGAGGTTCACCCACTCCCTCAGCAGGTATTCTGCCTTTTCCCTCAGGCCTGGTGGATCATCATATTCAGAAGCTTGAGAAATTCCTGAATGCATCATGAAATTAGGACCTCCATGAGCACGGTCAATCATTGCTTCATAGTTTGATCGGACCACTTCCATCAGTTGGGGTAATCTAATGCAACAGACAGAGCAAGAGTTGGGTTAGAATTCCTCCTCCCCGAGAAGGTGTGGGAACTAGAAGCACAGTCAAATAGAGTTGAAAGAAAGCAAATTATTTCTTATACTAAATCTTTGTATCTTTCAGTCCTCACTGGAATAGCAGAAATAAATCATGAAAGCAGATACATTTATGATGAAAGAAGGAATGCTGAAATCTGTGGAAGATCGACGGGAGAAATGC